TATCGCACTATGTGCTTATTTTCAAGAAGCTGAAAAAACTCTTCTTTTGACGTTATTGTTGAATTTCGCTAATGTTGGGGGAAAACATGGCTCCAGACAGTAGGCCCTTGTGCTCGTGTGGTCCTAACTGGGCCAATGCTCGAGATTTATCGACTGAAAAACGATATCAATCAAAAGTGACGTCGAGTGGAAGCTCTCTATTTTCAGAAAAATGGCACCGTGATGATCAGCATTAATTGAAAAGCGTACGCCACGCAGTGCGTCATTTTATCTCCGAAAGACTTAACTTTCAACGATTGCCCTCTGGTTACAATTATAGCGAGACTCGCTCGCTAACGAGTGTCCTCAGGTACTTCGATGGAAAGCGGGGAGGGGGAGGGAAGGCTTTTTCAGTTTTTCAGGACATCATCCTATAGATCTCGACCAGCTGTTCAACAGTGTAAGTTACTATATAAGAAAATATAACAGAAACTGATTTATAGCGAGAAAACAAAAAAAAACGCGGGTTGGGTTTTTTTGCTTTTTTGAAAATTAGGGCGGGTATTGTAGTTGGTTACCTATGCCTCTTAAATTAACAGGCTTGATGTCACCCTATTTTCCTCGAAGCTAGACTGTAAAGGCAGTGAATTCGAAGTGATGTTTTCAATTCAAATTTTCACCTGAACTTTCATATGAAACTCTATCATTGGTGATACCAAAATGATCATGGAATCATGCTGTTTCCAAATATGCTGGTAATTCTGACTTTGAAACACTTTGGTCCAAGGTCATGGTCCAAGTGGAGGGTTTACGACATGGCCATATCCGTAGGTAACACCTTAGGTGACAGGAGACTCAATCGTGGTTTTCCCTTAGAATCAGTTAGAAATAGTAGGAAAATGTAGAAAATTTGTACACGGTTAGATTCATAATGAACACGGCTATCGACTGGTCTAATTTTCAGATCATTTCGACCACTTCTACGGAAGTTATGGCAATGCGACGGTTTGCGACGGATTAATCCGTCGCAAACCGTCGATTTTGCAAAACGGGGCGTATTGTATGGTGCTCATCATTGCAGACCGGTGGGGCGGGTGAGCCGCGCCGCGTGTGACTCGGCTGTGACGCGACTGTCATCGCTGCCGCGTCACAGCCGAGTCACACGCAGCGCGGCTCACCCGCCCCACCGGTCTGCAATGATGAGGACTGTAGCTACGATCCACCCTCTCCCCTTCATATGCCCTATCGTTTGCATGGATCATGACTATATATTCCTTAAAAGGGGTGAATCTGCGCGCAAAAGAAAGTTTCCCCGTTGCCGGAAACATTCTCTCCCTGGTTTCTCTTTTGCCTTTGGTTTTATATTATTGAAATGAGCCATAGAAAGCTGAAACCTCGCGTGCCCAAGAAGAGGTTTTCGTCGTCCTTTCGAGAAGAATTACTGACGGCGGACCTTTCAATACAGGGCGCTTTCAGAAGATTCTGGAACTGCAACTCGCTTAGAACCAGTCTGGTAGAAGCTTCCTGGAAACACTAGTCGCACTTGTCGCTCCTACAGAACTACTTCCTGAGCAAGGCTAAAGCTATTCAATGAAGCTGGGAGAGCACACCACTTGCGGCGAGCGACGACTCACCTGCTCTTCTGCTCCTTTCCTCCTCCGGCGAGATAGTTCGAAAAAGCCCATAGATGGTTCCTGGCATATTTAAAGCAGAGAACAAATGATTTACGAATGGGAAGGTGAAGTGGCTTGGTGAGGTGAATTGTGTCGAATTTTTACTGCGAGGAAAACGCTCAAGATCCAATTTCTTCGATCTGCTATTGGAGTAGGTTTTTCTTTAGGTTCTGCGGAGCATCCACCGCATTCAATAATGTCACTTTTACACTGAACCCATGGGTTCACTTAGGCTGGAATCCCTAGGCTTAGATAAAAATCTTAATAATCTCATAATCCGGCCTGGACTTGTTTCTTTGCACTTTTCAGCGTGAACTGTTTTACCGTTTGAATATAGCACCCTAGAACGGCCAACGGTGTAAATGGTGTATTTCCCAGATTTGACCAAAACGCGGGATACTATTTTGCAAGTTTGTCAAGTTTTTGGAATGAGCAGAAGAGCAGATGAGTCATCGCTTGCCGCCAGTCGTGTGGTCTTCCCCCCCCCCGCCTTCCACCGCAACCCGCAAGCACGTTAGCACCGCTAATACAGCTTCACGGCTGCCTCACCACTCACATCTTACATAGATGTATGTTCCTTCGATGTATGAGGGATAAGCGCCCTCTTCGCTATATAACGAGGGTTTTTATCTTAGAAGCCAATCCGTCGCATTTACGGTAATTCTAGGGTTAAGTAATTCGATCAGAAAACGTAAAAAAAAGCTTGTCAATGCGTTTCTTACCTTATTGGCACCGCCATCCTACAATTTTTGGAAGCCTCTCCCACGTGAAGGCTATTTTTTGAGCGCTCATTCATAAAGTTCTTGAATGGAATAGACATAGGCTTGTCCGCCGCGGATGATGGGGTGTGTCAAGAAGGATGGGTTCGACGCAGTGCCAGCTCGTTTTTTTTCTTATTTTTCTCAAAAAGCGAGGGACTGTATTACATAGTTTGTACACTCGAAATCTCTGAGATGAGGTAGGCGTGGCTGCGTACTTCAACTAAACGTCGTGGTGGCTATGCTTCCGGAGAGATATTTTCATTTTGACCCAAATGTGGTCACGTCTCTGTCCAACAAAGAACAAGATGGCGGTTGTCTCAATTTGAAACATCCCACGAGTAACCAGTTCTGTGCCATGTTCGAATGCCACGCCTACCCCGTCTCAGGGATAAGGAGTATACCAGTCGGTTCCCAAAAATTGCTGTCGCCATCCAGCTTCAACACTCGATGGAGAACAGGATGGTGGTGCGCCAAACTCAGCCTCACTGGCGCGTCCACCATTTGCAGCAAATATCACTACTATATATAAACGGCAACGTCTGTATGTCTGTTTGTCTGTTTGTCTGTTTGTCTGTCTGTCTGTCTGTCCGGAAATTCGGAATCACCTGAAGAGCCAGTTGGAGGGGGCGGGTCAAGGGTGGGTTGGGTAGGGCATGGGCCAAGATGTACGGAACACACATGAACTAAGCTAGGCTCCGCCCACTGTGGGCGGGGCGTGCGCACAGTTGTGAGTACAAATTTCAAAAATTCGTAAATCGGTTCAAAAAGAGCCCGAAGAGAGGGAAAGGTGGCGAATGATAGGCAATCTGTTGGCGGACGAAATGAGCCATACAGACCCATCATGGGCGGGGCGTTCCATAGGTGGGCGGTGCTTGCCACAAAACATTCAAAAATTCGTAACTCGGTTACAATTGAGCCCGGAGAGTGGAAAATGTGGCAAATGATAGGCAATCTGTTGGCGGACGAAATGAGCCATACAGACCCATCATGGGCGGGGCGTTCCATAGGTGGGCGGTGCTTGCCACAAAAATTTCAAAAATTCGTAGTTCGGTTTCAAAAGAGCTCGGAGAGTGGGAGAAGTGGCAAATGATAGGCAATCAGTTGGCGGACGAAATCAGTGAAGCACACCCCTGACGGGCGGGGCGTTCGCCGAAGTGAACGGTGCCGAGGGCAAAAATCCTCAAAACGCATACGAAAAGCCCCACAAAATGGGGAGTAAGGTGAAACTGACTGAATGGTTTGGCAGGTGAAGTTAGTGAGGTAGAACCCTAGATAGTGTACCAAATGGTTGGTACCGTCGGCAATAATTCATTCTGCGATTCCTCATCACTAAGGGGAGTGCCGCATAGAAAATTTTGGCGACTGTGGGGGAGGGGGGGGTATCCTACTATATATAAACGGCAACGTCTGTCTGTCTGTCTGTCTGTTTTTCTGTCTGTCCGGAAATTCGGAATCACCTGAAGAGCCAGTTGGAGGGGGCGGGTCAAGGGTGGGTTGGGTAGGGCATGGGCCAAGATGTACGGAAACACATGAATTAAGCTAGGCTCCGCCCAATGTGGGCGGATCTTGCACACAGTGAGCTACAAATTTCAAAAATTCGTAGTTTGGTTCCAAAAGAGCCCCAAGAGCGGAAAAAGTGGCAAACGATAGGCAATCGGTTGGCGGACGAAATGAGTGAGACACACCCATTGGGCGGGGCGTTCTATAGGTGGGCGGTGCTTGCCACATAATATTCAAAATTCGCAAATCGGTCCAAAAAGAGCCCGGAGAGTGGAAAATGAGGCAAGGGAATCAGTTGGCAGGCGAGGGAATCAGTTGACGCATGAACTGTATGAGACATACCCTGATTGGGCGGGGCGTGCTATACGTAGGCCGGGTTTGCTACGAAATCCAAAATTTCGTAATTCTGTTCCAAATGAGCCTGGAGAGAGGAAAATGTGGGAGACGATAGGGAATCAGTTGGCGGATGAACTGAAGGTGGAACACCCTAATTGGACGGCGTGTGCTATAGGTAGGCGGGGCTTGCTACAAAAATTTCAAAAATTCGTAATTCGGCTCAAATAAGCCCGGAGACAGGAAATGTGGGACACGACAGGGAATCAGTTCGGCCGATCCTACTGGTGACTGTATATCTTACAGAAGACCACTCTACAATATCTGCCAGATTACGTCCAGGAGCGTCTTTCATTTATCATAGTTCCCTCAGCAGAGTCCTTTTCTTCTCAATGAACATTTACAACCCACGCTATACATGAGATAAGTTACACCGCGCTGCGTTCCACTGAGCATATATACGCCTAGTAAAGGTAGAGGGGGAGGTCGTATCGACACCCAGGTGGGGGGTGTACCAGTGAACCAGTCTTGTTCAGCATGGCGCTTAACCCTGTTTGGGATACTCTTCACAAGCACTAGACAACAAAGCCAAAGAAGGCAACCGAGTGATAGACCGCCTTATAGAAGTATTTTTCAGCTCGGAGTATCGGAGAATCTTCGACGAACATCTTGGGATTGGTCGCCTGAAAAAACGTTTCTTCAGTGATCGTGAACGCGTGGCTGTTCAGCAAGCTGCTAACTCTCCCTCATCTTTTCGTTTATCGTTTAAAGGAAATGCGCTGAGCGATGTAGTTACTTAAAGGAAGTGCTCTCATGTTGTAAATTTGATGTTGCTGATCAATATGATATTTGAGTACTTTACTATCTGCTACTTACTTTACTTACTACACCACATCGAATGTATTATTTTTCGTGCTCGTCTTTCTACAATAGTGAAGCTAACATACTCTGAAACCTTTTACTGACAAAGTAGTGACAAATTGCGTACTGTTTGACGTCTTTCAGGATTGTAGCGACAGGAATACTGAAGCTACAAATGATGTTATACAATTAGCGCGCTGTAGAAGGTAGTACAATAGTTGAAGGCATTAGGAACGATAATTTGGTACTTGTCAAAAATGGTACAGGAGTGTTATGTCGTGAGAAAATGCGAAATGCACGGCACTGGTTGAGTTTTGGAAGTGTTTCCTGTGCCAACAACCTCTTTAACAGCAGCTGCGGGTGCGTATATCCATGCAGCAGCGTACCATAACAATTGTACTTCATAATCATAAATAAAGCGACAAGGTTTCCAGCGTCGATGTGACTGTGTGGTGCGGTGGGCGTACGGGTCAGCATGTTGCGCCATAATCGCTTAACGGCTCCTTGGCTAGAAAGGGCTCCGCGCAGTGCCTGCTAAGAGACACAATATTTTTTTGTGCTGGGCGTATCGACCTTATACCCCTTTTCAATTGATCAATCCCACTTGCCTCAAAGGAGTGGTTGAGAGAAAGAGTTCGTCTGCTCGTCTGCCCTCTTTGAAGCCTGAGCATAGGGAGAGAGGGACGCAAACCTTTGCTTCCCAGTCGCGGCGTTGCAAATGCCATTGTGTAGGTGTTGCAACTGAGGTGGGGTGGTGTACGAATCCGCATCAGGACCTCACCCACTCAACATGCCTGCGCTGCACCTTGACGAAGTGACGCTCTATACTCCGGTGATTGAAGCAAGAGTTGTGGGAAAGCAAAAAGGACTGACGTATGATAGCCCCACCGCAGCGTATTCTCGCAGAACTGCTCTGCAAAGGAGCCAAAAGATACATGATGATGCGTGATTGCAGTATCTCCATCTCACTAGGGAAGGTCGCCAGGTTGAAGTGGCTATTTGTAATGAGATGTAGCTCACGGGACGTGGTTTTGGACGCTGATCTCAAATCTGCCTTCGAAATTTGCAGAACGATTCTCTGAACGGAGTTATGGAGCTTTTTCCTCCGCGTTTACCACGCAACAGGTCATGGGATGGTATCCCTGTTGAGCTTCCCTTTTTGCTTCTTGCACGAACACGGCAAAAAATGATTTTGGCGACCCTACTACTCAGCGCTCACCTGAGCTTGCCTGAAGATGCTGTGCACGCAGTTAGTGCTGCGCTTGGGCGCGTTGGGATCTGTAAGCAGATTTGGGTCACAGACCGTCATGCGTTATGCAGGCGTTTTCGAGCTAGGCGTGTACCATATTCGTGTTCAGCGCATCAAACTACTTTTAGGCTTAAGGTTCTAGCCAAAACTGGCAACTTGACCCGACTCCAAAAAGTCGAACATCCATGGGGTGCAGTTCAGTTAATGTCCACACCTATACAGCTACAAATACACTCTACTGTGCAAAGCGTCATCCTGCCATTTCTGACACTTTCTTTCTGTTACTGCTCCAGTTTTCTTGGTTTCTAAAAGAAAATTCCGTCCGGAAACAAGCAATAGATAAGAGACTGGCCCTAGAACTACTGGTCGAGCTACTGGATCAACTGCTGCCGCACTTGTTTAAACTTAGGTCATAACCTCACATGGCCTTAGATCAAAACCTCACATTTGGCTAGAAACCTGTCCCCAGGGGTAGTTTTGCTCCCTGAACACGAATATGACACCCATTTGGCGTCAGGATGTTTTCTGGACTCGAAAGAGACATCCTAACAAAAAGCAAAAACTTGCTTCAAGGCACGCCTATGAAACAACACTCCCCACTACGCCATGCTGCCGTTGTCTGGATTTGTTCGCGGCTATTCAAGCAAATCAGTCGGCTAGCAACCGCGCTCGACTCCGTTTTCCTTCATTCGAACAAACCTTCATAATTCCGTTCAGAGAGTCGTTCAAATTTCGAAGGCAGATTTGAAATCAGCGCTCAAAAACACGTCCCCTGATATACACTCCTTATCCCTGAGCCAGAGTAGGCGTGGCATTTGAACATGGCACGGAATTGGTTACTCGTGGAATATTCCAGTCTGGGACAACTGTCATCTTGTTCTGTGTTGGACAGAGACACGACAACAATTGTGTCAAGATGAAAATATCTCACCAGAAGCATAGACACCTTCAGGTTAAGTTGAAACATGCAGCCACGCCTACCCGACCTCAGGGATCTAGAGTATACGTCTCTTCACAAATGGCCACTTCGACCTGACGACCATCCCCAAGATATTTTCAAATGATGAAACTCCCAAAAAAATTCGCAATTTCTTGTGCTAATGTTAGTGGCAAAATCGAGTGTTATCTTGGAACAACAATGCTTCCTCAATCGAATTTTGCACGTAGATGGATTTCAAATTTTCCAAAGCAGCAGTTGCCATCCCAGCCATGCCGTTCCTGAAGCAAACATTTGGCGCACCCTGCAGTTCCGATCAAGTAACCAAGAGCACTAAAACCTTGCTTTTTATTTCTGATTGCACATTCCGTGGTCATGGTTTGGGCGGGGACAGTGAACCCATTCCAGCACCGCCCTTTGTGATACCTTGGCGGAAGGAGCGCACGAGTGAGAGCGGAGATATGATTTTAAATTTCGCTACAGCCATCAAACATTTTGGGGCTATCCCGCACTGGGGTGCGGCATAAGGAAGCAAACAGTTAGCAAATGAGAAAATCATATGATACATTCGAGGTGATAAGCATATGAGGGCATGCTACTGCTGCGGTACCTTGCGAATATATCAGCAATGGTTGCAAAACGTCGCGGCACGTGCCGTCATACTCTCTGAGCCCAAACGGAGGTTACTCTCAATCGACTCATTCTATAAGATGATTGTCGCTTTCTCACAATGGGAATTCCTGTACCATCAATGGCGTTGTCACAAATCTTCGAATATACTTCATTCCTGGATGCCCTGTAGTGTTACCATCCACAGAAACGACATGTTTGAGCACAGAAAGGTTTACTTCTGGCGTACTTCACCGCATAAACATTACAAATTGAGGAGGAACGTCCTCGAAGGAACGTGGGCGTACCATATCCATGAAAAACTCGAAAAAGGTGACCATTTCCTGAGAGCACCGATAGCGTGTGATTTGTCACACCAGTCCTTCCGAGTAGCTCGTCTCTTAGATTGTCTTATAGCCTTTGCCCAATTTTTGTTAATATTGTTCGATTGCGAAGCCCGCGACCACAGATTGCAGGTGACCGAACTCACATAGGAACGCAAAAGTGCTAGGTAACTGAGTAGTGGAGAAAAGAAGCCAAAAAACAGTCCGAAGTGTCTTAAATACTCCAATCGATCCGAATTTGTACGTGCATGCATGAAGAAAACGCATGTTTGTACGAATTTCCACTCGTTATCATAAAGATATCAGCTCTTTTATCTTATCACCTCACTCTCACCATTCGGAATGGAGAGAGATAGCATAGTGGCTACTAGCTAGTAGCTAGCAGCCGGTGGGGGTCGGCATGGGCCTAAGGGGCGCCCATGGGCCTCACCATAAGTGGTTAACTTTCAGCGAAGTTTCTGCCGATTTTCACTTTTTGAATGCACAGCCTCCGCAATGCCTTCCGGATGGTTAATAAATTTGAGAGGTCATAGCCTTATTTAATCGCGGAAAGTGCCTTTGAAGGTGGTGACGTCTGCTCCTCCCCGCGGTGCCACTGGGTACTGCTCGCTTTGCGAGTTGCCAAACGCAGACGCACGAATGCAGGTGACAGGCCTCCGTGACGGGCCGGCCTACGAACACCCATGTCACATCAACATGTTTGTCATGCCATATGTATATCGAGATAATGCTACGGCGTCCGCGGGAGCCGACGCGCACTCGTATGGCCCGGCGAGTGTGGAAAGTATGCGAGGGTCCTCGGTGCAAGGACGGCATCGGGGGGCGACCAGGCTAGTCCAAATTTCAGGCAGTGTAGCGTGTAAAGTCCGTATTGCAACGTTGAACGTGGGAACCTTGACCGGACGTT